TAGGATAACTGTTATTGCAGGGAGAGGGTTGTAATTATTTAGATGAAACAAAACATATGATTGGGCCTTCCTCCATTGCAGCTATTGAAGAATAGCAGCCATGGTTCTGTGCTACCCTATGGCTGCTGGCCTCAATGAAAGAAGAAAAGAAAAACAATTGCTTTTTTTGTTTGTTTGTTTGTCTTTAATTTCTTCATATGCTGTTGTTGTTAAGTGTCGTGGAGTCAGTTCAGATTCATGTAAACCCGTATAAGGTTTCCAAGGAGCAGCTGTTAGGTTTGAACTGCCACCTTGCCGTTCAAAACGACCTTGTGATCCAGTGCTTTATCCTGCAGAGCCATACTAGGACTCCATTTCTTCATATAAAGGAAGGGAAACAATGTATACTTATTTTCCCATTAGTATAAACCATTGGGAACTTTCCCACAAATGAAACAAGGTAAAGAAAAGAAGGGGACAAAAAAAAAAAAAAAATTTGGAAATGGATATTGGTGAATGTCTTGCAGCATGAAGAGTATATTTGGCATGGTTGGTACCCCCCTCCCCCCCAAAAAAAAGATCAATAGGAAGAGGAAAGAGAGAGAAAGTGCATGTACTTGCATGTGTGCCAAGGTCTGCCAAAATAGCTATTCATGACCCAAAGGCAGAACACACCCTAAGAAACAGTTCTTTCAATTGTCTGGTCTGTCTTATTACATTAGATGACATTATGGAGTGTGGTTACATTACATTGTGTTAGAATACATTATGGAACAGCAATTAGCGTAGTGTTGGGCCAAACCACTGGACACTGGACAACTTGACAGAGCTTAGTCAAGTTGACACATAACCTTGAAACACATTCAAATTAACCAGTCCAGTGATAAGACCCTCAGCATCTCATGGTGCAAGTCAGAGAGAACACAGAGTCCAGGGCTGGGGAGGGGACTGGTGACCTGTGGAGTTAGAATAGCAGGGCTGCCCCTTCTCCCTGCTCACACTGTTTGTTCTGCTCACACAGAGTACATGCCGCTGTGGGTGTATGGGATCATCACTGGTGTCGCCATCCTGCTGGTGGGCTCCGTCATCCTGTTCATCCTCTGCATGACTTGGAAGCTGTCTGGTAAGTGAGGCGGGTCCTGCAGCTCTCCCTTCTCTTCTCTTTCTTCCTACAGCCTTTCTTCTTCTTTTTCTCACTCCAGTCCCTAAGTTGCATCTTCTCTTCAAATTAAATGTAGACGTTGCCTCTCTTTGTGCCACCTTGGGCTCAGTTGTCAAGAACTCAGAGCCTGGAATCAGGCCAGCATGAACTCAATTGATTACCAGCTCCACCACTTAGTACCTGACTGTTGTTGTTGTTGT